AAAAAAAAATAAGTTACAGACGCTTACGTTTTGAACCATGTCTTCTCTGTTGGGGCTATGAACCAGATAGACCCGCAGCGTGTCCAAAGCGCCCTTACGAACCGCCGGCGCTGGATGTCCCAAATTATTGATCAGCTCCGGCACCACTGGTTGCATGACCTTGTCAACGACATCGATACTCAGTGTTGGTAAAACGTCCATCAGCACCCGCAGAGCGTGTTGGCGAACCTCCCATTCCGGATCCCGAAGTCTCTCGGAGATCTCGATGAAGGTGGCCTGCGTGTCAACTTCGGACGGAAACCTACGCGTACGCACCTGGTCAAGGACAAACAGCTTGTCAAATTTATTCGCTTTCAAAAAAGAAAAATAGAAGATAAAACATACACATAGAAATACGTGGCAAGAATACTCTCTAAGGGTTGTTCTATCTTCAGATAAACTATGTGATTTATCTATTGGATAAACAATAGAGTAAAACTCTCTAAATCTCGAGTAAAATTTCAATCGAAGAGATTAAAAATTTAGCCTGTCTTGAGAAAAGACTAAACTTTTACTCTTAAAATTTCACTCTTCATTTCTTCAAAGTGAGACGCAACTAAAAGTTTTAAGCTGGGTTCTTCCATTTTTCAGTAAAATTCAGCTCACTGTCTTGCTCTCTTATTCTCTTATTCTCTTATGCTCTTACTGTTCTCTTTAAATTTTATAGAATGGAATCTCACTCGAAGAGACTGAAAATTTAGCCTATTTTGAAAAAAAAGTGAAAATGCGGTCATTCTTGTTTAAGAGTTTCAATCTTTTTAGAGTGAGATTTACTTTTTTGAAATGAGATTCTTCACTTCAAAAGAGTGAAATCCCTTTTTGAACAAGAGTGGCCATATTTTTCACTCTTTTTCAAGACTGGCTCAATTTTCACTCTTTAGATATTTTCCACCCCAAAGAACAAAGAGAGTATTATAAAATGTTCTTATCTCGAACGTACCACGTGTTCCCAAAGAGGTGTCAATTGTATTGCTTGCCCAGACAGAGGAGTGGACATCATCTTACGTCGTGACTGATGACGATGACGACTATCTCGCCGTGCGGACGAACCGTTGTCCTCCGACAAGGACGATGGTCGAGCAACGGGAAGCGAAGCGGGTTCTTCCTGGGGCTGCAGTGGCCCCGCATCTGTCGATCCTGTCATAGATGACGACAAGCAGCCGGACATACCCCCCTACGTCTCGTCCTTCGGGTACATCCGTTTGTCCGTCATGATCTCCCGCAAATTTGGCTCCTCACCATTCATCGATGGTCCCAGTGGCATATATATGTGCGATTATTATGCTAAAGTAAAATTGCATGAAGTCATATGAAATTGATATACCCTTTTGCTTTTACCTTCGAACTTTAAGATTAATTCGCGCTCCTCCTCCGTAAATTTTCCTATACATAAATTGCAAAAAAAACTGGCAGGTAGTTTCTTAAAATTATCGAAGGTAGAAAAAGGGGTTTGATAGTAATAATGATAGCAACGATAATGATAGCAACGATAATAATACAAGGAGAAGATAAATCGATTCTTATTACTAAGTTTATTAACTTAACTAGGATTATAAAGACCGGATGTGCTGACATAAAAGTATGCCAATTTAACGATCGACATTTAAGGCCGAGGTTCCTTAAAAATTGTAGCGAATATGCAATTCCAGTAGTGAAATTACCGGAGTTTTTATTGGCAATTTAAAGATTAGGATGAAACGTAAAATCACACGAATACATAAAATCTATTATTTCACTGATGCGCGACAAGAATTTAATATATTAAAACTTCTTCATCGTGTTTATAAGTATATTGGATTGTGACGTCCGAAGCAAGAGAAGCCGCACCAGTTGAAAAACATGCAACTCGCATCTGATTGCGCCTTGTTTTAATATTATATTCGATATTACTCGAATGAAAAAAGTCAAGTTCTTCTAAATGTCCATCATCCTACAGTTCCTCATCACCGTCACGACTTCCTTCGGAATCGACGATGAATGACTGACGTTTGTTTTGCTTCCGGGATGTATGATGCACAATTGACGTTGCAAAGACAGCTATCGCTGTCAAAGAGGTAACGTTTGTCATGCGATGTGAATGGTATCACTGCGAAACAAAGTGCATAATTCACGAACGCGTTGTCTCATAAATAAGAAAAACCGATCAAAACGCAGTCAAGTGGTGCACGTTTTCCGCTTTGTCTTTTTTCCAAGAATGTATAATATACATCCCCAATACGCGCATTTTATACGGAGATAAAAAATATCTCCGTCTGATCCTGATCGTCGTATTTGATGATCGAAAGATGATAGAAGTATTTGAACAATATTAAAATTGCGTCGATATTATGTAGATAAACCGTTACTTTTAAGGAAAAATCGCCTCGCGAGAGGGAAGTCGCTAAATTTATCATTAAATCTTTCACGACATGAACCCAGTGTAAAAAAGTAGCACACACGAAACGCGATTGCATAATACGGGGCAAAACGTGCGTACTCCTTATATATTTTCTTGAGATATGTATGATAATAATTAAAATTCTCATGCTTTTTTTAAAAGCTTTAATAGTGGACAATCTAAGATAATGAAGCACTGTACTTGATATTAATTAATAAGATTATTATATAGTTTGTTTGATAAATTTAAGAAAATTTGTAAACACAGAATTTTATTAGGATTATCAAGCGAAGTTAAAAAATTTTTTAATCTTAAGCTCGATATTCAAAGAATTGTAACTAGTTATTTTCATTTTATTTTCATTCTGGAAATAATTGTTTAACTTTTATGTTACTTAATTAATTATTCTAATTACAGAATTCAAAATAAAGAAAGAAGTTAAGGAAGATTTATAATTAATTCTAAGATTTATAATTAATCTCACAAAAGTTAATTTTTTTTGCTTTTATTTTTCTATAAGAGTTTTCAGGAAATGTTTATTAATAGATTAATTCATAACTAAATTATTATTTGCAAGATTATTTTAAATCGGATATCTTTAAAAATATTCCATATAACTTTTAAAATAATAAGAAAAAGAGAGAAAAGAAAGTATACTTTCTATAGATAATATCTATAGATAATATAAAAACGAATTTAACGTTATATCGCAACTTGCGATATATTATTAAAAAGATATATAATATATTTTAAAAATATCAAAATACCTCCCATTTCACAAAAATTTGAAATATTAAACACATATATTCAAAATTTTATTCAAAATTTTAAAACACTTAGTCAATGTCTCTCAATCAAAAGTATTGCAATTGTGAAAATATAGCTTCATAGGAGTTACTCGTAATTTTGTTTCATGAAACCTTATAAAAAACAGAATGCATTTGAATAAAAATTGCATGTGTTGTTTAGAAAATGCAACCAAAAGTAAGAAAATAAAGATAAGCATTTAAGAAAATTCTGCTAATAAGATAATATAAGAAAATCATTCTAGTTGCTTAGAAATGCAATTGCAATGTTGTCGGCATATTTTGGCGAGTTATTGTAATTATTGATGTATTGTTTATTGTAATTAATTGGCGATAAACTTACTTTAAGTGAAGTGGTAATGGAACGCGAGGGCGAGAGTCTGCATTCGACCGCGGCCGGCATGTGACTATTCGCCACCGCGTTCTCCATTGGGGAAGGAACTGCTTCGCAGTTAATATCGACCACCCCCGTCCGTCTCTCTTCTCACTTTGGCGAAAGAGAATCGTCTTATACTTTACAACGAGCTGTAGCGTTGCGAGTACCTTGACAAAGATACCAAGAGAAATAAATCATCATAAAAGTATCTTCGCGCGAGAAGACAGGGACGAGTCATAAAGAGTTTTTTTGCATTCCAGCAAATTGTTTTCCATTCCGTAGTGCGTAGAATAATACTCTAACGATGTGTTAATCAATGAAAAATAGATGTAGTCGTGAAATAATCTTTTTCGGCGATTATTTTGAAGAATATGTTTGAAAGTAACGTTGCACGTGGATATCTTAATTATTCGTTTGTGAAGTATATAAGTCCTGTTCGCGTTTAGTTGTCGAAACTTTGACGAGCTACATCCGTTTGTCTAATATTTACAATGCGTCAGTCTTGTTTTACTGACTCTGATTAATCGCTTCATTATTCAGTTCAAGGAAAGTTTCTCCTCTTTCGCGAATCAAAAATCTTTCCTCTCGACGATCCATTCTCCTCTCATCGATCCAAACGTTATCCTGACGTTGTAAGAAACGATTAACGAAAAAAAAAATTTATCTCGCTGACTGCGGAAAGTATGAAAGATTGTACTTGCAGTGATAGAAGCTATAACGAATGTATGCCAATGAATGTGCGAGACGGCACGCGATATTCATGAAACTGAATACGGATAATTTCGAAATTCCATCACGGGGAATTCCCAGCGGACACGCTTCCGGGCGATTAGAGAAAGAATTTCGAATAAACGAAGTTTCAGCGACGAATGCAGAAACAGAGTGGAGCGGCAACGGTTGATCGATTTCGCTTGTAATACTCGGTTCATATCGCCAGTCTTATCAAGCTCATTTGCTATTAGCGGTACACCCGCATATAATACCGCAATTCAATCTGCCGATTTTACCATTTTCTTGGAAAGAGAAGTCATCTTATTGTATGTTATGACAAAACACATACTTTCCTTATGATCGATTTAATATATCGAAGTTCTTAATCACGTTCATTACGAAAATTCCTAGTTAATGAATACCGATGTACAATTATAAATCCATCATTAATAAGGTAGATGTTTTATCTATTTCTCGCAATAACATTTATGTCTTTGAACAGCACATATGAATATTTACATTTGTGTTTGTACTTTCAAAAAGCAAATGTAATCGTAAGCAAATCACTGGAAAAAAATGCTTATCTTAAATTTCATTACTTTAAAGTTGAAACTGATGAAATATCATCTTATTATTTTCATAGTAAAAAATATACTGGAGTAAAATTGAAAATTTAGGCAAGAAATGAAAACGTATGTTCAAGATTTAAGGAATGTAACAATACCTTTATTTATTGTAGCTTTCCATTAGAATTGATTAGAATTTCACGCGAACTTCGCATAAAAATGTACTATGATTAAGGGGAATAATTTACATTTACCTTTGTCAAGTTAACACTCTCATTGAAAATTGTAATTTTGATATGGATTATATTTTTGATTTTTAAAAATGCTAACTTGATAAAGGTTTATATATTTCTCTTCTTTCATTCGATATAAGAAATAATCACAATATAAATAAAACTCTTCACGCAGTAGAAAGTTTAACCAACGTATCGGCATACTGAAATTCCGTACTATTTTCATAGTCGCACATGTCCAAGGCGATTACGCAACTCTCATGAACAACTCTTTTACTATCATTGAGATATCTGTTTAATATCTTGTAGCATTCAGGAGTGGCAATGGAACCTAAAGCCTCCGCACATTCATGCCTGACCATCTCGTTTTCCTCCGTATTTTCCAATGATGCTTGCAATCCTGGCACGGATGTCTCGTCTTGAAGTTGTCCTAGTACAAACGCTATTTCGTGTTTGAATAGGGCACTACCGGTTTTCAAACCTTTATAAAAAAATAAAACTCGATTAGTTAGTATTTATTTAATATTTTTAGATTAATATAATTACCTTCAGTAAGAGCTAGAATGCTCTCTCTGGTACCCAAATTTCTCAGTGAGAACATTGCTCTGTATCTGTCAAACAACGACTTGCTTTCATCCAACAAAATATCTCTCAAGACTTTTACGTCTATTATTTCTGCCGGTGGTGCAGGATCAATAGTAGAGTATGAATTCTTTTGTAAGTTCTTTGCATTACTGTTAGACTCTAACCACCTCAATCGATTTAAGGCCAACTCACATGTCTCTGCTACTTCAGGTATAGGATCTTTGCGATACTTTTCCAATAGAGGAATTACCCTTGACTCACCGATAGCACCCAGTGCCTCTCCTGTGAAAAAAAATGCATATAGATATAAAATAGCACAAAGAATGAATACTCTCAAAATTTGAGTGGACTCTAAAGAGTAAATAATTAAGATAAGAAAAAAGAATTGTTTTTGAAAAAGAGTTTTTAACTTTTTAAGAGTAAGATTTTACTTTTTACAGTGAGACTTTACTCTCTTAAAAATTTTAATAAACAGATTCTTTATTTTCCTTTAATTTTTCTTTTTGAATAGATTATTGAAGCTTGGATGAAATTTGTGCATGCCAAACACATACCAGCTTCGTGACGTACCATCGGCTCCTGTGACAGATCTTCCAGGACACTTGTTAAAATATTAATGGCTGCAGAATCTCGCATTTGACCTAGACAGTATGCAAGCTCATGTTTCAACAATGCTGACGGATCTTTGAAGCATGCATGGATCTGATCTATTGCCATTGCACCACCAATATTCTTCAGAGTGAATAGAGCGCGGAATCTCTCTTTCAGAGGCCTGGCAGAGTCATTTAGAACTCCGCCTATAGTCAAAATATCGCTTTCACTCGCTTGAACCATTTTTAATTAAATGTTAAATATTACATATATAAATATAAATGAGAAATAAAATTCCAAATATCTTAGATCTGTAAAAAAAATACATAGAATATTATAAATATGTAATTATAAAAAAATATAAATTTTTAATAAATAATTACACAAAAGAAAAAGAAAAATATTGTACAAAAATATTGTATAAAAATTGAAAAATTTATAACTATAAACTGTTGTCAAACTTCTTACCAATTAATTAATTTCCAAACGAATATCTATTAGTTTTAAGTTGAGTTTTTAAGTTGAGTTGGTATAGATATTACTAATGTATTATTATTATTAAATTAACGATTCATTTGTCTCAATTCAATGCGATAATTTTTTAGGTTAACATGCCATGAGTTAAAGCAGGAATCATAACATATGGAAACAATAGATTTACTCCATATTAGTATTTATGGGCCATGTTTTTGAAACAGAATTACGATCTTTTTTTGATGTGTTTTAGAACGAAATTCTAACAAAAATTGAAGATATCTTTTTTTTATAAGTTTTGGAACACAGTCAGCTGATCGAGATTCAAATAGGAGATTTGTCCAGACTTATTGGGATATGAAGAGTGAAAGCATTCTTCTAATGATTTGTGATACTGAGTACACAATATTTCATAATTATCTAAACTCTTCGATCTTGTATTAAAATTTTTGTTATAATTTGTGCATTATAATTGTAAGTCAAAGGTATATTGACGTGAAATTTTGCGTTGATGCATAAGTAACCTGTAGGATAAAATTGACTTGCATCTCCTAAAAATATGGAACCACAAAAAAATGATCATGACAATATCGCTTTAAGCGCAAGTACAATATTAAAAGCATGTGTCTCGACGAGTAACGAAGGTATATGTACACTTACTGGTATGCTAGATCGCACCGAAGTTAGATACTGGATGCTGCACCTTTATTTTGAAGTATTTTGATGATTTCTCTGTATCCCCATCTAATGCCGTTAGCACAATTTTTGCTGCTAAGTTTTTGATTAATAATTGTGTACCAAATAGAAAAGCTCAGCAATAAGCCAAGCGATAACTGCACTAGAATGGGTTGAGTTGTGTCATGATCACGATTTAAAAATTTATGGATAGTAATAATGAGAACTTTGAATTTAGCGGAGATATTACGAAACCTCCAGGAAGACAAGCACTCTAAATTAACAATTGGAGCATTTTTCGAATTTATGAGAACTGCGTATCAAGTTAATGATAATTGCGAAGGTCTGGCTAAGATATTGAGTGCTAACAGCGAGATCGACTGGCATGAATTAGCCAAAATTAATTTAGACCTAGAAACACATGAGGATAGTAAAGCAACCAATGATAACTGCCATCTTAGTACTGACGAACAACAAAATGAGAATAATGATCCTATACAAACATTAATATACAACCTGGCACAAACAAGTAATAAGGAATCAAATTCATGTACATCAGAAAGCATGATAAGTTCACAGTCTTCTTCTGTGACATCTTGTAATAGCAATATTTCTAACACATGTAATAATAACAGTTCTGCGAAGGAATCTACCAGTGTAGAAAATTCTTCTAATAAATGTTTAGAGACAGAAGATACTATTAAAGAAACAAATCAGTCATCAGATAGTCAAGTCCAAAATGGAAAGGGAAAAGTATTACAGACTAAAGAACATTTGGAAGAGAATGAATGTGATTTGGCGAAAGTCATGAAGGAAAATCTAAGAGATATTTTGCACGAAGGATTATTAGACTCTGTTTTGCCATACATGCTGCCAAAATCTGCCCTATCGCAACCTATTATTAAAAAGTCCACTGTTGTTGCGGATGTTAAGAAAAGTTCTTCTTTGAATAATGTAATTGAAAATAAAACCTCAATTCATAAAGAAAGAGACAAGGAAAAAAATAAGACAAACAAGAAATCATTGGAGTAAGTATCTTTTAATTGCAATTACATTTTCAAACATCTTGCAACATAAAGTTAAAAGTATTTTTAATAACTGGATTAATTGTCCATGTTTAATAATATAATTGATATTATTTTTTTATAATGCATTATAGGAATGAAGTGGAAATCCATGTTTGTGATGAAGATAAAAATATCAGAAAAAATTTTCGATGTCCACAAAAACTTCTTATACAAAAAATGTGTTATTTCGCTGATGTTACAGCAGGACAGAAACTCGACGAGATAGACATATCGGTCCATTGTGATGTAGTTATTTTCGATTGGTTGATGAGATGGGTGAAGAAGGATATCATAAAAAAGTCAGAATGGCCAGTTTTAGAGGCGAATAATGTCATTCCAATTATGGTGTCCGCTTGCTTTTTACAAATGGAACCGCTTTTGGAAAATTGTTTGCAGTATTGTCACGACAATATGTCGGATATCTTAAAAACATCAACAATTTTAACATGTCTAGATGATAATCTTCTTACAAGGCATGCATTTTATTATTGTTATAGTTTTGATTGTATTTTACATGATATATTACATCTAATTTGTAATAAATTATTAATTTAAAATTTTCTTTTTTTATTGATGTTTACAAATAGATTGGCTGAATTATTTACTAATGAAGATGTTGAAATGCTAAAAGATAAAAAAGATAAAATTCAGAGTCGTTTGTTCTGTAAGTTAATCACTTCTCTAATGGAGACCATTCCAGATAATAAAAAGGGACACTATGGTTCATTGGCTATGATGTTTAGATGTGGAAAGTGCGGCAAGAATGTTATACAATCGATTTCCGATTTTGTGCCTTGCATTCCAAGTGCAATGAAAATTGATAATAAGGGAACTGTTCATAGCAAACATGTCAGGTACACGACACATATTTTTATATATAAGCATTATTATATGCATGAAAAATTTAAGAAATAAAAAATAAATAACTTTGCAGAGATTTGACTTGGACATTGAATGATTATGTCGTTTCCTTGCGATCGGAATTGCGCTCTTGGCGCAAAGTATATTGGAGATTGTGGGGAGACTGTCATTTTGTGTTCTGTCAACAATGCAATATATACTTTCCAATACATCAGATCGGTTGGTGCTGCTATCATCCGGAATCTGCACAATTCTTCATAAACGAGCAACAGAAACCTATGCCCTTCCCATTGGGAAGATATCCGTGTTGTAGTCAATCTGCTTATAGATTTGAAGTTTTATCGAATCATCAAAGTGGATGTAGATACAAAGTTAGTATCAATGTTATGTGTCTTCATAATTGCGTTATAAAAATGAATTTACTGTTTATGATATATATAATATACTGTTTATAATATACATATAAAAATATAATGAAAATATAGTTTATATAAAGATTTATATAAAGATTTCTATATAGAGTTCTTTTTTTTTTAGGAACATGTACCAGATATAAAGGGCGAGAAAGAATTAAATATGTTAAATATCTTGACAGCACATAGAGAAGTGATAATTTTGGAAGCACCCCAGCTTTTTTTCCCAGAAAAAATTACACGGCTAGTAACACGCGATCCGTCTCTTCGTCCAGGCAAATTAGTGTGTAAGGATACGATGTGGTGGAATGGAATCGAGCTTGTGCCACAGAGACCAAAACTTGGTTTGCTCGGTAAATTGTCAATTTAACGCTTTCTTTTCTATATATGCAGGATCAAATTCTATAATGCAGAAAAAATTCACAAAACAGGAAAAATTTGGGGAGGTTCGGGACTTCGTCGATTACTTCAAATACAGGATTCGCAAAAGTCTGTACAGAAGATTTATCGGCGAATTTCCGTAACCACGGATATTTCGTCTCCTACTTCCTCGATTACAGACGAAGAAGACGATGAAGACGACGGCGGGACCGTGTACGAGGACAGCAGTGTAGATGACGAATCATATTACAGTGAAGAATCCAATACGTTAGGCATATTAAAGTCGATGGCTAAAGCAAAGCATCAAAGTAGTCACAAGTAACAAATCGTGTTGTTGAAATAGTAAGTATCTTTATAACACAAAATATTTATATATAATTTTTATGTTCCTTTTAGGAATGGTAGATGTTGGAGTGGGAATTTAAATGTAAGACACAATCAAGATAATCAGAGAGATTTTGAAGAAAAAGCTGCGGCGCAAATGACAGCTCTTCTGACAAAGAGAACAATCACAGAGAATTTGTTTTCAAAATTTAATAAGCAACAGCATGGCTATAAAACTAAGCAACCTGTTGGTATGTTTTCCGTGCAATATATTTTATAATTACGATCATATTATAGCTACGTTTCGATATTCACTATCAATACCGAAAATCTATAATACACGCGCTATAAATTTTCAATATTAGTAATGAAATCGAAATGCAGCTATATACTTAGGTCTAAAAATCCCGAAACTAGCTAATTATCTCAGAAAGTATTGGCTTATTGGAAAAATGTTTCAGATAAAATTGAAAGGTTCAAAAAATCTATTTACTGATTTTATTAGTTTGATCTTGAGTGGCGTTGCCAATATCCAGATCAAGGTCACATCGATTTTTTTTAAATGAAATGCTTTATTTTTTAGCTGGTGCCAAGAACTTTTCAAAATATTACAATAAAGTTCATTCATTTTCATTAAGTACTTTTCGAATTATAAGATTTGAAAATTACAGTACCATCATCATTAGAGTGAGCATTATCCGAAATGTCCGATGATTAAAACTTCTTGAATGTTGTTACGCCATGGATAATATTTGTCAAGATTAAGGCCATTGGAGATTGTTTTTCTTATTTTCGTTTTTACATAAAAATGAATTTTTAATGCAAAAATATTTAATGCAAAAATTGTTTATCGATATCGATAAACAGAGATAATTTTATTGTAAAAGTTTTGTATAAAACATTTTTTGATATCTCGAATAATTTTTAAGATACAACAAAAAAACTAAAATCCACGTTACATAAGATTTTATTCCTTTAAACCATTTTTCCATCGCAACTAACATTTTCTAAATTTATTTTTTTATGTATCCTATACAAAGTTTTTATTAAAATCAGAATTTAACAC